ATTTGGATTCTCAGAAAAAGTGCTGCCTGTGCCTGTGCCTGTCACTGCATTCTATTCAATGCCAACCTCTCATGGGCCCCAAATATAGTCAGAGGCTGTATAAGCTAACTAATGTCAACATGTAGTTGTTGTTTTTTTGTTTTTTTTTTTTTTTTTTTTTTTTTTTTTTTTGAGATGAGTCTTGCTCTGTCACCCAGGCTGGAGTGCAGTGGCCGGATCTCAGCTCACTGCAAGCTCCGCCTCCTGGGTTCACGCCATTCTCCTGCCTCAGCCTCCCGAGTAGTTGGGACTACAGGCGCCCGCCGCCTCGCCCGGCTAGTTTTTTGTATTTTTTAGTAGAGACGGGGTTTCACCGTGTTAGCCAGGATGGTCTCGATCTCCTGACCTCGTGATCCGCCCGTCTCGGCCTCCCAAAGTGCTGGGATTACAGGCTTGAGCCACCGCGCCCGGCCTGTTTTTTTTTTTTTATGCAAAAATAACTTTACATGAATTTGTCTGAAATTCTGCAAGTGCCTTAACAATCACTATAATGGGTCCGGATTTTATTGGCTGAGATCCAGGGCTGCAAAAATATAGCTTAAACTTGTCCACTACTGAACTTCATTTCTATCTCAACCCCTCCTTTTGGCTGCTGTAAAAAGAGAAAACCTCAGTTGAATTCAGTGATTTCTCACATCATTTCAAATATAAAACTCAGGATTTCTCTTTTCTTCTCCTTGGGGTTGTTGCAAAGCTCCAAGGATAATACAAGTTCAGTGTCAGTAGAAGAGGGACAACAACAACTTCTTGATCTCGATCTGTACTGGTCTTAAGCTGGTTTTACCTGCTTCAAGGAAGTTAGCTTTCCATTTCTTCTAAGGGCGTGTTGAGACTTGGTCCCCCCTTCCTTCTTTCCAGCCCTTCGCTTGGTCCCGTTGTCCTTTTTACAATTGGAAAAGGTTTTCTGAGAAATGAAAATGGAAAAATACATATATACCATCCAAATGATTCAGACTCTAAACAAACACAAACTCCTAGGTACCCCAAATTCTATTTCCCTGGAATTTGAACTCCTCTAAAAATTGCACTGCCAAAGGACCATGTCATTGTGAAAGTAGAGGATGCTGTACCGTCTTCCATGAAATTTAGTGGGCAGCTAAACAATTCCACGCAGCTTTGCTGGGGTGTTCCTGCCTGCCCTGTACCCTCTTACGGCATGAGGCTCTTCCTCGTCCGTTGCTCATCTTTCTTTATCCATCATTCACCTCTGGACTGTTGAGCCAGGTGTTAGGGGAGAAGAGGTGAAGGGAGACATGGCAGGAAACTATTGGTGGTGAAGAAAGGTCTTCAATTCCGTATCCACACTTTCCAAAAACTTTCACAATTCCAAAGAGGTGTTGGTGGTGTCTCATCACCCAGTCCCCAATCAGTTTACTGCCAGTGCTTGCATCTTTGTAATGGGTCCGTAGCTCTTTTCTGCAAGCCAACTTTTGACAATCTCACTTAGTAATACGGCAGAAATTCTGGAAAGGTCTGTCGCATACCACTTTTGGAGTCATGAGAAAGCTCGCAGATTGCTCCCTTGTGACCCTCTCATGCCTTCATATCACCACATTCGTAGCTATCTGGTGGCGTATGTCATGCCAATGATGAACATAGGGGCTTTCTCCATTAGGGCTCATTCATCTTCCATAGAACTTATATGGGAGATGATGCATAGCTTCTCTGCTTCTTGAATCCCCAAAGTTTGAGAAAAGATATCTTCTTTTGCCCGTGAAATTTCTGGCCTCTGAACTGGACAGGTGTACAGGCCCTTTCTCGGACCAAACTCTCCCTTCCGCTCCCTAGTTCACTTCATTTTTATTTCCTATCTGAGCGAGTAGAATGCACGGGAAGTAAAGAAGCAACAGTGACTGGCTATTATTTCCCTGGGTACGTCTTTTTGTCTTTGTCGACTGTAAATGCGAGACTGGACCATTAAGAAGGCCTCAAGATTTGGATAACATTTATAGGGAAAAACCTTATTCATTATCCCTAATTTTCTCCTTCCTGCCTACTGTTTGGTGCGGTTGAAAATCGTGTGTACTCGTGGCGGCTCGAAGGGTGGAAGAAACAGTGATGGTTATTGCAGTCAGCTGAGCTGTGGCCTCTGTTGATGGGGCAGATTTGCAAAGCTCAAGGTAAGTGCCTTTTCTCCAGTAACAAGCACTTATGTGAAGACGGAATGCAAACAGTGAACACAGCAGATCTCCTTCGGCCTCAGGGAATTTATAGTCCAGTGGTCTTCTTTAGAAGCTTGGACACTGACAATTGGAAAGAATTTGGGGGGCGAACAAACTAGACCAAAGATAGCTGAAATTGGTTATTTGATAAACTGAGACACAATCAGAAATCCTGCTTGTCTAGAGTAGTGATTGTAATGAATTTTCATATGCGCTGACATTTATCGCTACAGCTTAATCTTTCTATACTTTCATGATTGTCCTTAGCAATAGATAGGGACTTGAGATTCAGCCAACTAAGATGTCGATCAAACCCACGTGGCCCCACTGCACAGGCTTGTTGTTACCAGAAAGCAAATGGCATTCAAGCCAAACGGCCCAACTACTCCTCAAGGTGACCTAGGACAAGAAAACATTGGCTGTGTTCTGAATTTGTGACCAATGTGTCCGAAAATCGCAATCTGATGCGTGAGATGGTATAGGAGTAGGCAGACAAACTCAGACACAGTAGGGATTTATTACATAGTGGGAAGGCGATGCGGCTTGACTGATCCTTTGCCCAAGGCTGGGATGCAGGATTCAGGACCTAGGTCCTAGGGGACAAGTTAGATGGGGTACAGATGAGTACAGGGCTACAACCAATGGCTAAGGGTTTGGACTGGTCTCCAGTGCTAAAAGAGCTTGGAATACAAATATGAGGCTACCACAGAAGTTGTAGAATAATTTGTTTAAGTAAGTAAATAAATAGGAGTAGATATTAAATTTTATCAAATGCCATTGCAACATTTATCAGGTTCACGTTTCAGTGAATGAATTATATTAGTTTTCCAATGTCGAACCATTGTAACATTTCCAGAATAATCTTTACCTGTGTACGCTATATTATGGGCTTATACCTTTGGAATTGACTTAACAACATTTAAAATAGAATTTTTGCATCTATATTCACAAGTGAATTTGGTTTAAAGTTTACTTTTTGTTCTGGAATTTAGCTAAGCTTGGATTATGCTAAAATTACAAAATGAATCAGGATTATTTCTAAATATTCCAATTTCAAATAGCCTATTAAAACCATAAGGGGCTTTTATCCCGTAAGTTTGATAGAACCTGTGCTTAAACCTATTCTTTTATATTCAACCTTTCTGTCCATTTTATGTGTGTTTCTGTAAAACGCAGCTATTTGCATTTAATTCTTAACCCATCTGAAAGTCTCAGTGTTGTAATAGTTAAATTTAAGCCATTCATATTAATTATCATAACTGGAATGTTTGGTCATATTTATATTATCTTACTTTGTTTTTCATTTATTGGTTATTTCTTTCTGGGTTCAAGCGATTCTCCTGCCTCAGCCTCCCAAGTAGCTGGGATTACAGGCATGTGCCACCACACCTAGTTACTTTTGTATTTTTAGTAGAGACGGGGTTTCTCCATGTTGGTCAGGCTGGTCTCCAACCCCCGACCTCTGGTGATCCGCCCGCCTCAGCCTCCCAAAGTGCTAGGATTACAGGCATGAGCCACCGCGCCTGGCCCAGAGTCAGCTTTTAAGGGTGTTTGATTAAAAAAGAGGAAGAAAACCAGGTGACTGGATGTGGATCATAAGACAAAGGAAAGCTTCTCCTTTGAGTCATGCTTCAGGTTTGGATAACTGGGTGGCATCCTTCTCTGCAATAGTGGATAGAAAAGAAACAAGAAGCAAGGAAAAAAGTATATTCCCTTTTGAACACACTAATTATGAGGGACCTATAGGACATCCAATTGTGAGGACATCTAGAGGTTGTTGGAAATACTGATTTGGAACTCAGGAGAGAAAAATGGGTTAGAATTAATAGATAGAATTAATAGATTAATTAATAATCTCCATAAAGGAGGTCTTAAGAGTACAAGAGATCATCCTATGATAGTCCATAGTCTTAGAAGGAAAAAGGACCAAGGATGGCTCTCTTCCAATAGTTTCTATGAGCCAATATAATCTATAGTCTCATCCTGAAAGTGCTTTTCAGAATGCTTCCTAGCTGCTCTGGGATTAGGAAGCGTCTAGTCTGGTGCTTTGGACTAAATCAAAGGGCCTGGTGCAGTGGCTCATGCCTGTAATCCCAGAACTTTAGGAGGCCGAGGCAGGAGGATCACTTGAACCCAGGAGTTCAAGATCAGCCTGGGCAACATAGTGAGACCCTGTCTCTATGAAAATTTAAAACAATATAAGCCAGATGTAGTGACATGCACCTGTGGTCCCAGCTACTCAGGAGGCTGAGGTGGGAGGATCACTTGAGCTTAAGAGGTCAAGGTTGTAGTGAGCCATGTTTGTGTCACTGCACTATGTCTCAAAAAAATATAAACATCTAAAAAATCAAGAAAGGATAAGGGGGCAGTTATCAGGAGGACCGTTTGTGATGTGGGAGTCACAGAGCTGAGACAAAATAATAGTCTGAAGAAGGACCGTACCAAGAGATGGCATACATGCATTGCAGGAAGAGAAGCCCAGAAACAAAGAACCAAAGAAGTCAAATGGATCGTTTGTTAAACCAGCTGGTGGAGCTATGAACCAAATAAATGCAGAAGAGACCTGCTGGGTGGTCAGAAGCAAGCTGAAGCTGAGTTGTAGGATGGTCCAGGGATGAATTTCACCTATGGGATCTTTTGGCCCATTATGGTATTCCTTCTATATGTGGCTCAGCACCTAACAGAGTGTTCTTAGGGAACCTAGGCGTGCTGGACCAGGAAAGTAGTGTTGGTCCATGGTCCGTGCTTGTGGCTTATTCATGGTTTCCTTTTTTTCTTTGTTTGTTTTTTTCTATTAAGGGCTGCAAAGTTGTTGCAGCAGCAGGGTCTGATAAAAAGGTTGCCTACCTTCAAAAGCTTGGATTTGATGTTGTCTTTAACTACAAGACAGTAGAGTCTTTGGAAGAAACCTTGAAGAAAGCCTCCCCTGATGGTTACGATTGTTATTTTGATAATGTAAGTACAAACTGGACTTAATATCTGATTTATTAATGGAGTATTATATAACACAGGTGTCTCCTACCCCTGAGCCATGGATGGTTAGTGGTCCATAGCCTATCAGGAACTGGGATGCACAGCAGGAGGTGAGGGGCAGGTGAGCAAGCAAAGCTTCATCTGTATTTACAGCCCCTCCCCGCACTCCCATTATTGCCTGAGCTCCACCTCCTGTCAGACCAGCGGCAGCATTAGATTCCCATAAGAGTGTAAACCCCGTTGTGAACTACGCATGTGAGGGAACTAGGTTGTGCGTTCCTTATGGGGATCGCACTACTCAGGTGCCTGATGATGCCTGATGCCTGATGATCTGTCACTGTCTCCCATCATCCCCAGATGGGACTGTCCAGTTGCAGGAAAACTCACCCACTGATTCTATGCTATGGTGAGTTGTTTAATTATTTCATTATGTATTACATTGTAATAAGAATAGAAATAAAGTGCACAATAAACACAATGTACTTGAATCATCCCCGAAATCGTCCGCCCAACAGTCGGTGGAAAAATTGTCTTCCAATGAAACTGGTTCCTGGTGCCAAAAAGGTTGAGGACCGCTGATACAAGGAAATATATTCCTAGAGTTTGCATTTGGGATGCATGAACAAAGTATATATGCCTTTTTTAAAAAACAGCTTTATTGAGATATCATTCATCTACCATGTAATTCACTCATTTAACGTGTAGAAGTCAATGATTTTTACTATATTGGCAAAATCGCACAACCAGTTTAAGAATATTTTCATCACCCCCCAAAAAAACGCTACTCATTAGCAGCCACTCTCCATTACCCACCCTCCTCCCCACTAAAAGTGGTCTCTTATGACTGGCTTCTTTCACTTAGCAAAATGTTTTCAAGTTTCATCCATATTGTAGAATTTATCAGTGCTTTATTCCCTTTTTTTGTTTTTTGAGACAGGGTCTCACTCTGTCACCCAGGCTGGAGTGCAGTGGTGTGATCATGGCTCACTACAGCCTCGACCTCCCTGGCTCAAGCAATCCTTCCACCTCAGCCTCCCAAGTAACTGGGACTATAGGGCTGTGCCACCACACCCAACTGATTTATATATTTTTATTAGAGATGGAGTTTTGCCATGTTGCCCAGGCTGGTCTGGAACTCCTGGGCTCAAGCAATCCTCCCACCTCGGCCTCCCAGCCAGCTGGATTACAGGCGTGAGCCACCACACCCAGCCTGATGGATATTAGCTTATACTTTCTGGCTAGGATGTATAATGTTACTATGAAAATTCATGCAGAGGTTTTTGTGTGGATGTTTTCATTTCTTTTAAGTATATACCTATGAGTAAAATTGCTGGGTCATATGATAACTTCATGTTTAACATTTTGAGGAGCTGTCAAACTGTTTTGCAAGGTGGCTACACTACTTTACATTACCACAAGCAGTGTATGAGGGTTCCAACTTCTCTACATACTCACCAACACTTGCTATTGTCTGTCTTTTTTATTATAACCATCCTAGTGGGTTCAAAGTGATATTTCATTGTGATTTGATTTTGACTTGCATTTCCCTATGGCTAACAATATTGAGGATCTTTCACTGTATGTATTTGGCATTTTTATATCTTCTTTGGAGAAATGTCAGGTCAAAATCTTTGCCCATTTTTCAGTTAGGTTATTTGTGAGGTTGTAAGAGTTTTGTTTTTGTGTTTGTTTGTTTTCGAGACAAAGATTTTTGCTCTGTCACCCAGGCTGGAGTGCAGTGGCGCGATCTTGGCTCACTGCAACCTCTGCCACCTGGGTTCAAGTAATTCTCCTGCCTCAGCCTCCTGAGTAGCTGGGATTACAGGCATGAGCCACCACACCCGGCTCATATTTGTATTTTCAGTAGAGATGGAGTTTCGTCATGTTAGCCAGGCTGGTCTCGAACTCCTGACCTCGGGTGATCCACCTGCCTTGGCCTCCCAAAGCGCTGGGATTACAGGCATGAGCCACCACATCTGGCCAAGAGTTCTGTACATCTTACAAGTCCCTTATTAGATTCAGTGGATTTCCATTATTCACAATATTTGTGTTCTATAAGGTCACCACCAAAGCTGAACCATTGCTTCTAGGGGAAATATGTACATGTATATACATATCTCACATAGACTATAATCTTAAATCCTTAAAACAACTCATCCCAGTTGCTTTTATTTTATGCAAGACAAAAGGAGGTTCAATTTTATTTTATGGTTTTATTTTATGAAAGACAAAAGGCCTGTGGCCGCCCCACTAGCTAATACCCCCAGAGTTGGGATTCATACCCCATCCAACTCTTCCCAGAACCAGAGCCTCTTGAACTATGCTGCAGTGGCCTCATCCTCTGGTCTTCTCTGTGTAACAGTTGAAACAAGAAGGCAGAGCATGGCCTTATTCAGCCTCAGAGAATATCTGCATCTTTTTTTCTGTTCCGTGTATGCCTGCAAGTGATCAGGGAAAGCTTAGTGAGTACTGATTTGAGGTTACAAATACAATTTTAGCAAGTAGTTCACAATATGCAAATATGAAATCCACTAATAATGAGGACCAACTCTGTATGGCTTGCAAATATTTTCTCCTATTCAGTGAATTGCCTTTAACCTTCTTTCTGTTTTTGTTTTTGCCCTTTGTTTGTTTGTTTGTTTGTTTTGAGACTAGGTCTCACTCTGTCTCCCAAGCTGGAGTGCAGTGTGTGATCACAGTTCACTGCAGCCTTGACCTCCCAGGTTCAAGCGATCCTCCTGCCTCAGCCTCCCAAGTAGCTGGGACCACAGATATGCACCATCATACCCAGCTAATTTTTCATTTTTTTTTTTTTTTTGTAGAGGTGGAGTCTCACTATGTTGCCCAGGCTGGCTTTCACTTTCTTGATGGTATTCTTCGAAGCATGAAAAGTTTTAAATTTTGATGAGGCCCAATTAATCTATTTTTCTTTTGTTCCTTGAGCTTTTGGTGTCATACCTAAGAAGGCTTTTCCTTTCTCAGAGCCATGAAGATTTATTCCTGTGTTTTCTTCTAAGAGTTTTATAGTTTTAGCTCCTATATTCAGGTCTACCATGCATTTGAAGTTAATTTTTGTGTGTAGTATAAGGAAGAGGCCCAACTGCATTATTTTCCATGTGGAAATCCAGTTGTTGGGCACCGTTTGTTGAAAGGACTATTTTTCCTCTATTGAACTGCTTTAGTGCTTCTGTAAAAAAACCAATTGATCATAAATGTGAGGGTTCATTTTTGGACTCGTGATTCAGTTACATTAATCTATATTTCTATTCTCACCCTATCTTAATTAAATTAGCTTTGTATTAAGTTTTGAAATTGAAAAATGCCAGTCTTCCAGCTTTGTTCTTTATACACCTTTTGAGTATTTTTACATACCTTTAAATTATAAGACAATGACGTTATTGGACTGATCAGAGAACCTCAATATATAATAAAGTAAAATGTATAAGTTATAAAAGGTATGGTCTTAGAGTCAAATGAAAATGCCTGTTTATTTATTTTTTGTTTTTTTCTTGAGATGGAGTCTTGCTCTGTTGCCCAGGCTGGAGTACAGTAGTGTGATCTCAGCTCACTGCAACCTCTGCCTCCCGGGTTCAAGCAATTCTCCTGCCTCAGCCTCCCAAGCAGCTGGGATTAAGGGCAGCCCGCAACCATGCCCTTCTAATTTTTTGTATCTTCAGTAGAGACAGGGTTTTACCATATTGGCCAGGCTGGTCTTGAACTCCTGACCTCAGGTGATCCACCCGCCTCAGCCTCCCAAAGTGTTGGGATTACAGGTGTGAGCCACCACCCCTGGCCGAAAATGCCTGTTTCTAATGTCTTTTTCTAATTGCAACCTTCTGCACAGTTGGGCTCATTCAATCAGTTTTGTTGCTGCTAAAACGAGTATTGTAAAATAATGATTGTGACTCAATGATTTTCCTGAATCTCTAATATTTAGACGATTTAACGTTTTGTCTTTGGTTTTGTATTTCCTGTCTGTTTAGGTAGGTGGAGAGTTTTCAAACACTGTTATCAGCCAGATGAAGAAATTTGGAAGGATTGCCATATGTGGAGCCATCTCTACATATAACAGAACCGG